TACCCTCACTTCCTCTACCTCCATTGCTCACTATGGGGTCACGACCATTTTTGAGTGACAAAATGGAGTCATAGAAGGAAAAAGTTTGAGAAGCACTAAACTAGAATGCTGAATTTTGCAAGATATTTAGAAGTAACATGCACCTTTTAAAGTGTTCAACATTCAATCAATTTTGCAAGGCATGTGTGTCATTGACTGACTGATGGGAAGAATGTGCTGGAAATCTAGCACCACTATACTACAAGGCATTACAAATGTGTGAAATGATCAATTTATTCACCAAGTTTGTACATTTTCCTGAGATTGACCACTTCCTAAGCTAAAATAAGCTTGCATCAAGTTTCATCAATAAATAAAACAAAATCATAGTTATTTTAACAAGCTTATCATTGAACGAGTGGCAAAATGGATTGTGAATTGCTAACATGGAAACTTAAACTCTGCCCCCTTTAAATCCAAACAAACACATGTTCATTCACAAAAGGGCAGTTTTGCAAAAATATTGTGGGTAGAAAATATAGGCAGAAAGGAATAAATTCTGTGGATTGAGTCCAGACCATGGGGTTGAAATGAGGTGACTTTCATTCAGTTCTTGGATTTTGGTGCTGATGTCTTGCTATAGATTGTGGTGATTCACAATTCAATAGCCAGTCAGTTGGACCTAGGTTCTTTGCTTAAGTGAAATGATATTTTTCAGAGACTTTTAGTGCTGGTTTTCTGCCATTCACAGACGGCACTAGAGAGCTACAGTTGCTTGGCAGCTCTTGGAACTCTCTGTACAACCACTCTCTTCAGTTCTGTTACAAAACTGGAACTTCAAATAGGTCCAAAAGCTTGTTGCTGGGCAGTTCTATATTTCATTCCAAAAGCATTTGGTGTCAGCTTGTCTCTCAAAGGTATTAAATCCGGCTTCTCCAAAACTTACATGCCCTCGTGTAACTGTTAGGTGAATCCCACGCATTCTATTTTTCCTTTGTATTTTTAAGAAAAAAAAGTCTGGTTCATTCTCTGCAACACAGGAGTACTCCCTTACATTTTCCCAGCTTATGTATTTTTCTAGAAAATTCATTCATAACCTCCATCCTTCATAAGATGAAACACTTTTTAAATGCATGTCATCACAAGGTAAACATGTCACATTATGAGAAAAAGCACAAAACAATTTAATACACCCATCAGTCATTCTTTGTGCTGGGTTTGGTACAATTTATTGTCATCTTTCTTTTCAAATTCCAACCCGTTTCAGCACCATTTAATTCTTGATGATGTATCTACAAGTACATTATCTTTTCCAGCAATATGAAAAAGTCTTATTGAATTGATGAGCTCCATTAAAATATTCTCGCATTTTGTAGTTTGAACACTCTGCGGTTGTTTAACAGCCAGTGACAATCTCAGAGGCTCATTTCCACTGCAGTGTACTACTTCTGATGCTGGTTAAATTTTGTTTTAGAAAAGTATCCTACACCTGATTTGTCATCTCGTAATAAAACTGCACTCACCTCCAAGTCAGTTGCATCACTAGTCATTTTAAAAGGCTCAATGAAGTCAGGGGAAGCCAACACCATTTCATCCATGAGAATTGTTTGGCAGTCTTTTGACCATATTGCCTTTGCCTGTTTTCATAAAAAGTCTGTTAGGTGCGCTGAAGTATTAAAGTCCAGTACGAATTTCTGATAAAAGCCATGCATCCCGAGAAATCTGATGATTTCCAATTTAGTTTTAGGAACCGGAATTCTATCTGAGGCTCATTTACTTTGTTCTTGGCAAGTGGCCCTTGCACTACAATGTGGCCTGGGTAAGGCACCCTCACTTTTGAAACTCACTCTTAGCAAGATGTGTTACTTAAGCAGATATATGTAATTACTTAAATACGCCTTCAAATTGTTTTATGGGTTCTTACTGGGTACTGCAATATATCTAGACATTATGTAAATGAAATACACAATTAGGCATACTAGCTATTTCTTGATCTATAAGTCTTTGGAATGTAACTGAGGTATTTTTTAAATGCAAATGGCATGACTCAATGTTGATGCAACCTATTTCATACTATAAAAGCTCTTGATGCTCATGGTACTCGCTGAATAATTGTCACAATCAATGAGCTCAGTCAAGTATCAAAGACATAATAGAAACTGCAGCAGTCCATCATAGTCATAATCATAGTCATAATCATACAGCGTGGAAACAGACCCTTCGGTCCAACTAGTCCGTGCTGAACATTATCCCAAACTAAACTAGTCCCACCTGCCTGCTTCTGGCCCATATCCCTCAGCCTTTCCTATTCATAGTAGTTATCCAAATATCTTTTAAGCTTTGTAATTGTACCCACAGCCACCACTTCCTCAGGAAGTTCATCCCATACACAAACCACCCTGTGTTTAAAAAAAAGGGAAACAATTGCGCCTCATGTCTTTTTTTAAGTTTCACCCGAAAAATATATCCCCTGGTCTTGAAATCCCTTATCCTAAGGATCTATCCACCTTTTCCTCAACTGCACCAGTACGAACAGCTGTGTCATCCACTGTCATCTCACTCAATGCCTTCTTTTATTCCAGAAGATGATCGCCACAAAAGGGCAGAAGGAGCTGAAGTGAGTTAGTTTTCCCAATACTGAACACAGCACATTACTAGCAAATGCCATATATTGAATTAAATAGTAAACTTAAATCATCATTTCACATTGAAGGAACCATTGAGACCTTGCATGGTGAGAAGGAAGGAGGTAAAAATACAGATGAATTTCCTGAGAAAGAGAGAGAAGGATTGGGAGGTGGCGGAGGAAGTGGGGGAAGGAGGGAGGAAGTGGAGAGAAGTGTGTGGGGGCAGGGATTGGGGTAGAGAAGGGGGTGGGGGTGTAGAGAGAAACACTTGTAGAATTGGATGATCAAGAATGGAACGTGTTACTTTCTGCTGAATTAGTGAAACTGAAAACTCGGCTTTCTGTTGTGGAGAGCAAAATAAGACTTCAAGAACAAAAGTGTTGAACAACTAGCTCAGATAAATCTAAACTTGAGAATGCCATCTTGGAAATTAAGAAGTCCTTTATGGGATATCTGTTTAGATCTCAAATGTGAATGAAGAGCTGAAAAAGCAAGAAAGGAAGCACAATGAGCTACAAACTGCATTGCCAATCCATTGACAAGATTGCCCATCTGCTGGAAGACTTGGACAACTTAGACAAAACACAGATCAGGATCAGCATGAGCAGCTACAGAAACAAGGTCTTGAGCCCACAGCAAATCTTGAGGACATGACAGACTTGCAAAAACAGGTAGAGATGCATAACACACATACAAAGGTGCTGCACACTGGTCAGGAGATGGTCATTTCTGAAATAAATGTCAGCAATAGTGCTCTAGTTAGACAAATCAAGCAGGGCATACGAGAACCCAAGCAACCACTGAAGCAACAAACAGAAGAGAAATGGCTTCCAAGAAATCAAAACGGAAAAAGCAACTTGAGCAATCAGAATGGCAGACAGTATTGCGGATGACTGTGGAAATCATCAACACCTCCAGACAAAACCATCACCATAAGATCTGAATGTTTTGGAAAATGACCTTTGTTATAGCTACTTCCAGGTTGACTTGTAATGGTAAATAGTTGAAGTTTCTTTTTGAATAAAGGGTGATATTGTGTCTTTGCCTTTGCCTTTAGAGACTTTACACATAGTGCCTAGAACTGTTAAAGGTATAAATGGCTGCATCTCTGCCCACCAGTCAGTCTGACTGGGCATGTGCAGGCAGGTCACGTAAAATTCAAATAAAGTAAGTGTTTGAAAATCTCAGAAGTCTGACAGCATCTGTGGAGAGAGATGCAGTGCTTGTATTTGGAGTCCACTATGACCCTTCTGCCGAACTCTGTATCTCTCCACAGATGCTGTCAGACCTCTTGCATTGTTCCAGCAATTTTTATTGTGGATCTACAGCTTCCACAGCACGTTCAGTCACATGGAACTCTGTTGTAATGTTTGCTTTATGAGGTTTCTTTTATTGTTTTAAATAAACTAAGTCATGCAGTTAAATCAATCCCTGCACTGTAGATGGTGTAAAGGATATTCACCAGGATGTAGCCTAATTTAAGTTGAAGGCAAGGGTGTTTAGAGGCGATGTGAAGAAAAATAAATTTCATCCAGAGGGTGTTGGGAGTCTGGAATGCACTGCCTAGGAAGAAAATAGAGGCAGGAAACCTCCCAACCTTTAAAAGGTACATGGATGAGCATTTGAAATGTCATAACATTCAAGGCCACGGGCCAAATACCGGAAATGGGATTAGTGTAGGTAGATTGATGCAGACTTGATGAGCCAAAGGGCTTCTTCAGAGCTGTGTGGTTCTATGAATGAGTAATTTTTTTAGACCATTATCAACATGACAGTAGTAAGCTTCCAGCTTCCACTGTTCAATCTCTAATAGTTTTCCTGAACCCATATGGAATGTTCTGAAGTCTTGAAGTGTGCTAACTGGCAGCCTAGTTTTTGGGAGGCTTGGGCAATCCATCTCAAGGAATGCATTTACTCTATGTCAAAGAGAAAAATTTAAAAACTGGCTTGGAGTGAAGGCATTATTAAACTTTACTATGTGACACCCAGCTGATCAGAACCAGAAATTAAGTTTGGCGTGAAATGACCCAGTGCAGTAGGGGAGCAAAACTGAACATATGATAGTTAACTAAAACCACAGACCAAAGGTGTAACTATTGCCTGTCTTGCGGACAAAAAGCTGCATGGTGATTGTGTTCAATTATTTACAATTTTAGAATAACGTACAGCACCCTGGTTTGGTGTTTGCTGCAGTGACTGTATTTTAAATGCAAAAGAAATCACAATTTCAACATTTTGTATACTGATAAATTGGTGTTGAGGTCTTTATAGCCCTGTAGTTGGTGTATTCGTAAAGAGATACTCTTGTGTAATACAGTATTTCTAACAGCATCTTCTTTAGAACAAACCTCTTATGTTGAAGGTTAATGTCCTTTTCTCTTTTCCTTTTTGTAGGAAACGATGAACAAGTGATTGTTCATGATGTTGAAAGGTAAGAAAGGAAAAATAAGATCCATGTAATGCAGCATCACAACATTTATAAAAAGGTAGTGAAGTCCAAAGAAGCAAACAAAGAGAAAAGCAAAAAACTTTCACAGGAATTGTTAAAATAGGTTGGTGGTAGCAATTTGAGTGCACTATAATTCTAGTTTCCTGATTGAATTGTACCGTTTAGGGAGGTTTGTTTGGTATAGTTTCAACAATTTGAAGCACATGTCTGACTATGCAAGTCATATTTTTATATACTAAGTTGTGCTAATTTAATAACGATGATTGGAACTAGTCTGTGCCAGTCTGAATTTTGACGGGTGCCAGCTTAACTTGGATGTGGTCTTGATGTGCCCTTCTTGAGAATTGAGTGATGGGTTATTCGGACTCGATGCAGGTTAAGTTGAAGACAGTAGAATTCTTGATGGATTATAAAATAGAACTTTGGAGACTGACAGTACTTCAAGATGGCAACACTGTGGTTGAAATAGGGGCATATACTGGGTGGATGATATTCAGAAGGTTAAACTAGACACTGCTGATGACTGACTGGATTCAGCTCTAGGTAGGACACAAACTGGTGTCCAGTTAGCTTATTTAAGGAAGCAAATCCAGTCATTGAAAGAATAAAGATTAGAATCCTTAGTTTTAAGTATAAAAACAACAGTGTGGCTTTAGTTATGCCAATTTTTAGTTAGAATAAGCAAGAATTCAAACAGTGTTCGCCCTATTGAAAGTCAGCTGTACATACTCAGTCAACCCACATGGGTTGAAATACTGAACTTGGGTTACAACGCAACAGTGTTTTGAGCGCACAGATCTATGAAGCAGATAGTTTTGTATGAGTATGTTATCCGAGAAGCTTTGAATGTTAATTTGAAAATTCAAATTTGTGCTCAGTGGCTAATAATTCAGTAATTGCACATCATTTTTCTGACAGACATTGGGCTACTGTATTCAGTCTGTCTTGAATGCTTTTGGGTTTCCTGCACAGTCATTTTTGATGTTTGCTAAGAGATCCCTACCTCTGAACCAGACAGCGTGAGTTCAAGTCCTACCTGCTCCAGAGCTGTGTAATAACATCTCTGAATAGGTTAATTTAAAAAAATCTAAAAGAATTAGTCAGCAATAATTACTTTCTTGACAGTACAAACTGGGAAGTTACATAAAATGTTCTGAAAAAGCTGTGTATTTTGAGAGACAAGATTTATTATTATTTTGTATATGTAGCAAATAGATCATATAGGTTTTTGTGTGTTTATACACATTGGCAACAAGTAACAATGTTGTGCTCTCTTGTTCTATCCTGTTGTGATGAGTTTAATTTTTTTTTGTTGTTTCTTCTATCTCCACAGTTAGCAGTTTAGCTGGAGTTGTTAACAATGCACATTTTCAATACCTGTAATTTTCTTTCAGCACAGAAATAGTGAGTGTTTTTCCCCATGATGATGCTGTATATGGCCTGTCGGTGAGTCCTGTGAATGACAATGTATTTGCTAGTTCTTCAGATGACGGCAGAGTTCTTATCTGGGATGTACGAGACTCGCATGGAGGTAAGTATTAAGAAATGACTTGTGCACAATATAACCCAGTTCAAGAAATGTACTAAGCATCTCTTAACTAGATTATAACCACTCCTTGTTCGCCTACATAACGTCACTGTATGTGTGTGTATGTATATTTGTCAATTTTGTTTTTGTCTTTTAAGAGAATGTATATATGGTTTGGAGTCTAATGGATCTTCAGCTTAAGCTGATGATTACTGCCAATGAATTTGATATCTGTGACCTCAAAACACTTGACTGGGTGTGTAAGAGAGTCAGAGATTGGGTGATTTTTTTTTTGTTTCATTAACCAGTAGCATGATTACATCTGAGCTATCTCAAGATTTTAATGGTCTCTGTTCAGTACCTTAACTGGATTCCACATACTCTGCTCTTTGCAAGCTGTTTCTGATCTAGTTGAAAGGACTAGAGATTATACAAGATATGCTAATGAAAGAAGAAGACAAGTATTAGGGAAATACTTTACCGTTAAGTCATTTTCCATCAAAATCCATTCTCACTAATCCCTAAATACTTACTTGGACAAGATGCATCTTTTAGCACTAGAATTCTGTCCCTAAACATCTCTACTAATTCCATCTTTTTAACCCTCCTCGAAACATAATTTCAGCTCATTGAGCAAATGTTGGGTCGCCCCACTTAAAATCCATTTATTTTTGGCTGTGCTTCCGTGAATTGTCTGGAGACTTTTCTACATTTAAAAGTGATTTTTAAAAACTTCAATTTGTTGCATCTGATACACCACCTGTCAGTAAATCCACTTGATGACTGAAATATATAGTTTAAATGATTGACTACTTCAGCCAGTAATCTTCATTTGTTTATTGTTCATTTTCATTAATGAACAAGTTACTAAAACTTGTTCTCTGGATTAAGAAAAATAAGGAAGTATATGCCAGGTATATACAGCAGTGATTGAGTGAACCCTTTTAGAGTATAAAGGCAGTATGAGTATACTTAAGAGGGAAATCAGGGGGGCAAAAAGGGGACAGGAGATAGCTTTGGAAAATGGGGTTAAGGAGAATCCAAAGGGATATTATAAATGCAATAAGGACAAAAGGGTAACTAGAGAGAGACTGGGGCCCTATGTGTGGAGTTGCAGGAGATGGGGGAGATACTTAACGAGTATTTTGCATCAGTATTAACTGTGAAGAAGGATATGGAAGATATAGAACTTGGAGTAATAAATAGCAATATCTTGAAAAATGCCCATGTTGCAGAGGGGGAGGTGCTAGATATCTTAAAACGCATGAAAGTGGATAAATCCCCAGGACCTGATCAGGTGTACCCTAGAACTCTGGGAAGCCAGGGAAGTGATTGCTGGGCACCTTGCTGAGATATTCGTATCATTGATAGTCACAGGTGAGGTGCCGGAAGACTGGGGGTTGGTTAACGTGGTGCCACTATTTAAGAAAGGTTGTAAGGAAAAGCCAGGTATCTATAGTCCGGTGAGCCTGACATCAATGATGGGCAATTTGTTGGAAGGAATCCTGAGGGACAGGATTTGCATGTATTTGGAAAGGCAAGGACTGATTAGGGATAATCAACATGTCTCACAAATTGTATCTTACAAACGTATTTGAGTCTTTTGAAGAAGTAACGAAGAAGATTGAGGGCAGACTTAAGTAAGGTGTTTGACAAGGTTTCTAATGGTAGACTGGTTAGCAAGGTTAGAGCGCCTAGAATACATGAAGAACTAGCTATTTGGATACAGAACTGGCTCAAAGGTAGAAGGTAGGGTGGTGGTGGAGGGTTGCATTTGAGACTGGAGGCCTGTCGCCAGCGGTGAGCCACAAGGATGATGTTTAACTTCGATATGTGAGGTGCTGCATTTTGGAAAGGCAAATCAGGGCAGGACTTATACTCTTGATGGTAAGGTCCTGGGGAGCATCGCTGAACAAAGCGACCATGGAGTGTATGTTCATAGTTCCTTGAAATTGGAATTGCAGCTACACAGAATAGTGAAGAAGGCATTTGGTATGCTTGCCTTTATTGGTCAGTGCATTGAGTTTTGGAGTTGTGAGGTCATGTTGCGGCTGTACAGGACATTGGTTAGGCCACTTTTGGAATACTGTGTGCAATTCTGGTCTCCCTGCTATAGGAAGGATGTTGTGAAACTTGAAAGAGTGCAGAAAAGATTTACAAGGATGTTGCCAGGGGTGGAGCGTTTGAGCTATAGGGAGGGGCTGACTAGGGTGGGACTGTTTTCTTGGAGCGCTGGAGGCTGAGGGGTGACCTTACAGAGGTTTATAAAATCATGAGGAGCATAGATAGGGTAAATAGACAGGGTCTTTTCCCTGGGGTGGGGGAGTCCAAAACTAGAGGGCGTAGGTTTAGGGTGAGAGGGGAAAGATATGAAAGGGATGTAAGTGGCAAGTTGTTCATGCAGAGGCTGGTGCAAGTATGGAATGAGCTGCCAGAGGAAGTGGTGGAGGCTGGTACAATTAATATTTAAAAGGCATCTGGATGGGTGTATGAATAGGATGGGTTTAGAGGGATAGGGGCCAAATGCTGTCAAGTGGGACTAGCTTTATCGGGGATATGTGCTTGGCATGAACATGTTGGACCAAAGGGTCTGTATCTGTGCTGTACATCTCTGACTGTGACTGTACATGGTTGGGAATATTATCTTCTAATGTCAGTGCTAAATTCAAGACTGTTTGACTTTTGAATTTAAATTGCAGATGAAAGCTCGTGCAACACCTTTCACCTTTTGCATCTGAGTTTTCATTATTGCCCAATATGGCAATAATTGGGTATTATGGAAATGTTGATGCTGATGTGTTCACTGAGGAGCTGTAGGTTTCAGTTGAAATATAGCACTTTCTTTCTGATTCAGATACAAACATGATTGTATTGCAAATCCAAGATCTTGGAATTGTGTAAAAGTTGCAAGTGCTAGACATGCGTTGTCTGCTTTACAGATTTAGCATAATGATCCTTTCGAATAACCTTTGACTTCCAAACCCATAGAAGCTTATTTTTGTCTGATTCAAATATGAATCTTGTTATTATCTGGCATTGAATTAATTTGAGCTGAAGTACATGATGTTGCTGTGAAAAATCAGTTAGTATTTCAAATTGTACTTATAAATGACAATTTAGTTTCATACAGCCAGAATTTGCTGGCAAAATGTTGCTTAATTATTGGAATGTAAATATCTCTGATTTATAGTGAGGAATATGTGCACATTGTTTTATGAATTTCTGCGAGTTTTTGGATGACTTGTGCCATGGCACAGTTAGTCTCCCAATAACTCATCATTGTCTTCTCCATATGTAACAAGAAATTTCTATATTTGTGCTGTAAGCACCAGTTATAAACTCTACTGGGGCTGATTTAATGTACTGGAACCAACCATCCATTTTAAGACCAGTTTGATTTAAATTACCATTATTCTGTATGTGCCAAATAAATCATTCAAAAAGTATGCAAGTTAAACTGACTTGTTAAATGATATGCAATGAATTATGTTTGCAAACAGCTGCTTCCTAATTCATTGAGCTTGGCAGAAATCATCTATCTTGCCCAGCCTCTGCCCCTCCCCCCACCTCCAACTATTTGGATGTCTAATTTGTAAGTAACCAACCATTAACATGCTGGTTTCACAAGTAAACATGCTTTGAATTGGTAGAAAATATCCAACTTTTGTGTCTAGCAGAACCAGAGTTTTTTTTACTTTAATTTCAAGGAAAAACTTTGCTTCAGAGCTCAGTGAGACATTTAAATCCTTACATTTATTTGGTTAGAGTCATTTATGGTCAGTTGCCCCATTATCAATTAGAACTTCCTTCAATTTGCAGCACAAAATCTATGTGATGTTTGTGTGAGTGAAGAAATGCAACCAGAACTCGAGTCTAATGAGATACCCCTTTGCAGCAAATCTGGGGCCACTCTGACTACCCATTATATAGCACCAGTTTTAAAGTAATAATGTGAATGAAACTGCACATGGTACATTAATCCTCATCTCCATGTTTTAATCTGCAGTTGTGTCTTGCTTTTCCAGAACCATTTTGCTTGGCAAATTACCCCTCAGCCTTTCACAGTGTGATGTTTAACCCTGTTGAGCCCAGACTTTTGGCTACTGCAAATTCCAAAGAAGGAGTGGGCCTGTGGGACATCCGCAAGCCTCGAAGGTGAGCTAATTCTCAGCTTTGATGTGTCTTCTTTGAACTTTTGCTCTGTCAGCAAGAATAATTTGTGCAGAATGCTATAAAGCTGCTGGTGAATTTGAACGCTACCTCATAGTTGAGATGGGTGGGAGGATGACTTACCGCTCTGCAGCTAATTGAAATTTAATATATCGTATTTTGTCTTCAATATTTTGCGCTGAATTGAATTTAAAGAACATTGATACCCTCTACTATGGTTTATATTGTATGGTATTTAGTTAGAAGGTCTCTGGTATTCAATAAATTCAGTTAACAAATTCGGCAGTAGGCCCACAGCATCTGAAGTGATAATCTTGGCACAAAGTAGAATTGACCGATTTTAAAACTTATGCACTGTGTTCTTGATAAAAGTATTGAAAGTCTTCAAGGTAGACTGTTTAACTAAGTGATCTGGCGTTCTGCAGTGTTGATTCTAAATTGGCATAAATGTCACCTACAGCACTTAATGATTTAAAACGTTAAGCTTATTATTTTTATAAATGTAACCCCTAAATTCTTTCAAATTAGGTCAATTTTGTAAGTTGTGAACACTGGAAATCCATCCTTTGTAGGCTTCAGTGGAACAAAATTTAATTCAAAATTGAGTAATTTGTTAATTCAATTTATTAGCATTTAATTTTTGCTTTGTGGTATTTGGCAATTCAGCCCTTCAAGCTCGCCCTGCCATTTAACATGATCATGGCTGATCTTATCCTGGTCTCAACTCCACTTTCCTGTCTGCTCCCCAAACCCTTTATCTGGCTTTTATCAGGAACATATAACTTATTTATTTTTTTGGACAGTTTAACTTCTTAACAAAAATCAACTTTGAGTTAATACTGAAAGAACTGCGGATGCTGTAAATCAGGAACCAAAACAGAAGTTGCTGCAGAAGCTCAGCAGGTCTGGCAGCATCTGTGAAGAGAAAATCAGAGTTAATGTTTCAGGCCTGGTGACCCTTCCTCAGCTCTCAGTAAATCTGAATAATTCACATGCTGTGAAATTGTAAAATTACTTTAATTTTTCCTGTATACAAAAAAATCTACGTTAATGGTTTGGATTAGTGTAATTTTTGGGATATAATTATATCATACTCAGTTTAAGTATGTTGTAGAGAATTTTCTTGGGCGATTAAACCATCAACTCAGAAGGACAATACCAATAAAAATATTCAATTATGAAATCTGCTATAGATTATAATCAAATAGATTTAGGGAACCCACTTCTAAAAATTTTATTGTCTAAATACAATAATGCAAGTTTTTATTTATCTATGTTTATTTACATTTAACATTGCCTCCAGGGGAGGTGATGGCCTAGTGGTATTATTGCTGGATTGTTAATCCAGAGACCCAGGTAATGTTCTGGGGACTTGGGTTCAAATCCTGCCATGGCAGATGGTGGAATTTGAATTCAATAAATATCTGGAATTAAGAATCTAATGATGACCGTGAACCCATTGTTGATTGTTGGGAAAAACCCATCTGGTTCACTAATGTCCTTTAGGGAAGGAAACTGCCACCCTTACCTGGTCTGGCCTACATGTGACTCTCGACCCACAGCAATGTGGTTGACTCTTAACTGCCTGCTGGGCAATTAGGAATGGGCAATAAATGCTGCCTAGCCAGCGACACCCTCATCCCATGAATGAATAAAGAAAAAAAACTACAAGGATATCTTTATAAGACGTATCATGTATGATTGTCGATTCACAGAATAGCTGAATTATTCTGACATAAAGCGTACATAACTAATTATTGATTTTCATAATTCTCTTGGTTTTGTAATACTTGCTGATCTTTGACCAGCTACTTTGACAGTACTATAAGATGACACCATAATTTGCTAAGCCTTGGGCATTCAAACTAGTTGATCCAGTGTTTTTGGAAAATTGTGTATCTTTATTTTTTGATTAGCAAGCAGAGTTTTGAAGGATATCAGGCTAAGTTGGCTGCTGAGTGAAGAAAGGAAAAGCAGCTGCAAACCTTTGCATGGAGGTCAATTAAGTGCAGTGGAAAATCTTCAATTTATCAGAAGAGGTAGAAAGATCATAGAGCGTGATGAAATGTCCAGTCTTGACATTTACTTGTCTGTATCTTCTTTTGTGATTTAGATTGATAAATATAATTTCTAGCACCCTTCGTTAATTTTCTCTTGTCGTGTTTCAGAATTTCGTGGCTGGTTTCTTTGAATTTTATAGGTTAGTGTCTCAGGTGATTTTTTGATTTTTAGAGATCTGTGTTATGTGCTTTAGTAACCAGGAGTTTGGTGATTTAGAAGTCATCAGACTTCGGGGCAGTCTTTTACATTTGAGATGTGGGTGTCACTGACCAGACCAGGATTTGTTGTCCATGCATACTTGTCCATGAGAATTTGATGAACTACCATCTTTAACCTCTGCAATCCCTATAAGGCCACTTCACTATTAGGAAAAGAATGTTCATCTGCTGTCTTGATTTTTCAAAGAGGTAGCAGTCATGGTTTTGGTAGCTGCTATCCCAGGAGGTTTAATGGGTTACTGCAGTGTCTCTTGTAGATAGCACACACTGCTGCCATTGTGCATCAGTGGCGGAGGAGGTGAACGTTGAAAATGGTGGGTCGTGTGCCAATCAAGTAGGCTACTTTGTCCTGGATAATGTCAAACCTTGTGTTTTGTTGGAGCTGCCCTATCCAAACAGATGGGGTATGTTCTGTCACACTTCTACCTTGTGCCTTGTTGATGGTGGGCATGTACTGGGGAATCGGGAGTTGAGTTGTTTGCTGCACAGCTCACCAGTCTATGACGTGCTGTAGTTGTCACGTTGCTGGTCCGGCCTACTTTCTGGTCGGTGGTCATCTCCAGGATGTTGATAGAAGATTTGGCCATAATAATGTTACTGAATGTCAAAGGGAGATGGGTGCATTCTTTCTTGTTGGAGCTGGGACTTCTATCCAGTGAACCTATATCCAGTTATATGTGAAAACTTCAGGATAATTCATATGAGTGCAGTAATGCCTTCAATTGCTTGAACTCAGGGTTTGGGTTTTGGAACATGCGGATCATTTGGAATAGCTGCCATCTATCTAGGAGCCTAGTCTCGTTCCAGGAGTTCCCTTGCTGGTGGCACTCACTAACCTGTTTTCAGTTTTGAAAATCGGGGAGTTCGACTTCATCTTGGATGAATACAGGAACAAAGGTCCCTCAGTGTCGTGGGAGATTTTACTGTACATGATTGGGGGGGTGGGGTGAGTAAAGGGTAAAATTTGCAATTGTTAGAGATTTCAATCATGAGATACGTGGAGAAGCATTTGTGTTATTCAGCTGTCATTACCACAGTGCCATGTTGTCTCCCTATTTCAAAGCTGAAGAATATTACCAAGTAAATGTGGGATTTTCTGTGAGGAAATGGGTAGAATTTCATGGTCTGTGTTGAAACATTTCTGAGGACTTTCAGGCAGAATATCAGCAATTAGGAAAAGGTTAAAAATAGGACCTCAAAAGTCAGAATTGCTTTTAGTGCCACCTGCTGATGGATACAAAAACAGGAAGATAGTGCAGGTAAATGTCAGGGAACTGGGATTCCTGAGAGAGGGATTTGGATTCTTGAAGTATTTGATTGGGCTGTGGCAAGAGGGCACTTGTACAAAATGGACACATTGCACCTTAACAAAGCCTGGACTAACGTCGCTTGAAAGGATAATTAGTGTTGCTGGAGCGGTGTCAAGCTAATTTTATTGAGGGAAGGTAACCAGAAGATAACAGAATGGAGCAAAAATGAGACAAGTAGATATAAGCAGCAATAAAATTAGAGATATTCTAAGAATTGATACGTTCAGATGGAGAAAAATAGCAAGAATGATAATGGAGATACAAATGGTCTGTATATTAGTGTCTGTAACTAATAAGATCTCAAAAATTACAGCATCAATTGTCACTATTGGACTATGCATCAATTGGACTTATGATGTGACCTCATTAATAGAGACATGGTTCAAACAAACTCAGTAATGTGTTCTTAATCACCCTGATTACAAAATATTCCAAAAATGATAGAAAAAGCAAGAGTGGAATGGCTGTGGTGATAATGATTTAAGGATGCTATTTGTCGAAAGAGGATTTACTAGATGCTGTTGCACTGGGGGCATTCTTTTTAAATAGAGCACAAAATGGGTAAGGTGTTTATTGAAGAGTTTCCAAGACCTCTAGCAGAAAGAGTTGTAATAAGAGACTTGTTTCTATGCATTTTCATATCATGATACTGTGGTCAGGAAAAAAAAAGTTTCTGATGTACAGGAGAATTTTCTCTTAATATGTCTAGTCCAACAAGAAGGAAAATGGAGTTACATCTAGTTTTCACTGGAGCTTAGGAGGTTGAGGGGTGACTTTTTAGAAGTTTATAAAATCATAACCTACATAGATAAAGTGAATAGCAAAGGTCTTTTCCCTAAGGTGGGGAAGTTTAAATCTAGGAGGCATATTTTTAAGGTGAGACAAGAGAGAGACTTAAAAAGGACGTGAGGGAGAATGTATGGTCAAGAATTGTCTCAGTAACAGTGATCACAACAAAATTCCATTTAAGCAGACCAGAATATATTGAAGGTACACAAACTTTACTAGTGAGAGCTCATTTTAGTGGTTTAAGAAAGGAACTAGCACAAGTGGATCAGAAAAGGTAATTTGTACGATAAAGCAAAATAGAGCAATCGAATATATTCAGAGAAGAGAAACTACAACTATTCATATATGTTTTTAAAAGGAAAAATCAGTGCAGCAATAGCTAATGTATCTTTGATGACCCATGATTTAGTTGGATTTATAAATAGAGGAATAGAATATAAAAGCTGTTTCCAACAATGAGAGACTTCAGTCACAAAGAGACGTTGAGAAAGTTGGGACTGTTCTCCTTGGAAAAGTGAACACTCAAATGTGAGCTGGTATCAGTTTTCAAGATGAGGGATTTTCAAGTACTAGTAAGATTAAAAAAAATTTTTTTTGTGAATTGGGT